TACCACTTCTTTCTCTTTTACTCCGACGAAGGACTAGCGTCCGAAACGTCAGTAAGTTTTTTCATCTTTTCACGGTGTATAATTTACCTTTTCATCATTGCTCTTATCTCTTATCCAGCAATGGCCTTTCTTCAAGAAAATAGTTTTTGGCGCTCACCGCTTGAATACGAAAAGAATTCTCTCTTAATACAAAAAGATTCCAGTTCTGAAGTCGAGAATTTGTAGTACATTTTTCAAAACGTTTTAGATATGCTATTGCTTTTTTTTTTTTTTAAATAATACAAAACATGCTATACAAAATACGAAAGGATGTACATACAGTATTAATAAAATGTGAAGTAGTGTACATGTACATGTATATATGTATGTATGTATACCGAGATAAAAATCGAATGAAAGATGAAAAAACAAAAAAACGAATGAATAAAAATTATTAAAAAGAATAAGAAGTAAAAACCAAATAAAAAGAAAAACGAATAAAGGAATAAAATATATAATAACATATTGGTACTACAAACAAATGATTGCGGATATTGAACTGAGGGGAAGAATAAAGATTTCATAAGTAATAAAAGGAAGCAAGACGAAACATTCGTTAAAGATATGTTTAAGAAGAGAACGAAAGAAGATTTTGAGGGATAGTTCTTTTCTTTTTTTTCTTTCTTTTCTTTTCGTAGAAAAATTACGACTACTGGGGAGAAATGTTTTTTGAAATAAGCGAGACTGCGGCATAAATAGCTTTGATAGCAACTCCCAGTGGATATATAAAGGTTTGTAAACATTCATTAAGCTTTTAAAGCTTAAAGAAGAAATTCGTACTGAATTTGTAAAAATATCACTGTCTTTAACGGCACAGAATCATAGCTTGGGTAGCCTGTGGGTTTGGTTGTCATATGAAGAGAGAATTGAGAGCCGTTCAACCATACAATCAAAAAATAAATATTCTTTGTAGATTTGGTATTAGGAGATTTTCTGTGCGACTACACCAACCAAGGGCATCCAGACAAATTTTCCGCATAACGATTAGCCAATTACGATTGATTATTTAAACAATAGAATCGACTGTACAAATTTCCCCATTTTCCTCCTTTAATTAAAGTTATATTCCTTCATTTTCCTCTTTAAAGTCATATATTTTACTTTATACGCGTGTGTGTATGATCAGAAGTAAACAAGTAAAACTTGAATAGGCCATTTCACGGATCTCGTTACTCAACCTCAGCCTCGTCAGCGTGTAATTATTCTTTAGAATTTGACTACAGTCATCAGTAATAAAAGGAATTTACACATCAAGTCTTAAGAGTTTACATTTTATAATGAGAATATTTTATACATTTGACATTTGCAGGAAACTATTATATATATATATATATATAATATATAGTATATATATATTATAACTACAGTACAACAATAAACTATATGAAGTGCTCAAATGAAGTCAATATTTAGCGCTTTTCATACACGCCTCAAGTGCTATGCATAAATGTAATTTCTAATTGCGCAGTCTACAGTAACTATAAAAAGCACTAGTAAGCGGTTTTATTATTTTATTCCCAAGGGAGTGAAAAGACAAAAACATGGCGGCCAGTTCTGGTGCTGTTAACAATAGATGCTAATGAAAAATATTTTGTTAAATGGCTCCAATATGGCCGCGATGACGTAACGTGCAATCGAAGAATTCCTTGCATTTGGGATGACGAATGAATCGAGAGACAATTCGCTGCTAATCACTTACCCTATAAACCACAGTTATTGACATTGGTGTTAGACTATTAGCTATGCCTTATTATTACACATTTAAGCTCGATATCCGTGAAATAAAGCCGTGAATAAAAACCATATCAGTGAAGTGATACGATATCACTTCACGGTAAACTGTAACTGTAACTTGACTACGATAGTAGTCAAGAGTGACGAGATAAATCTCTATTTAGTGTTTATTTCTTTCAAATTCAAGATGAATTTTGTGCTTCTTACATTTTTAATTAAGCTTTAATATCTTGAATGATATTGAATTGGAAACGTATCATTCTTTAACATTTTGAAACGGTGTAAGTCGGTTAAGGATATTTAAGACAATAAAACATTTTGCGTGTGTTATATAAACATCGTTTTTCCGTATCATATCGCTCACTCGCTCGAGGACTCGCTCGTTCGCGATATGATACGGAAAAACTCGTGAATAAAAACGATATCAAGTTCTTAACATGTGATAATCTCTATACATTCATTACAGGCCGCTTACATGTCATTATTTTTTTACAGACTTGCATTTAACCTAATACTTAAGAAATCTAACAAACAAGAAAAACAGAAAAAACATGAGACATATACAATATAAGGAAGGGAACAGCTGGTCGGACTTAATGGTCTCAACGAGGCCATTCCCAAGTAAAAATTATACGAATCACAGTGGTTACAAAGTCATTTTATACTGAAAAACAGTGACTGAGTTAATTTTTACTGCGGAATGCACCTGCAAGCACAGCCAAACTCTAAAGTAATTGTGCTAGACGGATACCCATATGTGTAGAATGGTACGACCACTATTGCTTTCTTCGGTTTACATTTGCCAATTCGGAGGCCAAAATGCGAACAACGTTTTTGTTCGCATGTAACTGAATTAAACCTATAGGCTACAGATGCAGATTCGTCGGCTGGTATTGTGATTTCTTCAATCAGCTCTCGGCACAACCCCCTATTCTTTCCTTTTCTTTGGTAGTAGATCTTGACGACTTTCCTAGTCTTTTGCAAAGCTTTTTTTAAAGACCCATGTGTCAGGATCACTTTCACTCCAAGGGTCTTCAAAACGCCAATGCGTTCCTCTAGGATGGACTTTAATAGTCTGGGGCGAAAAGTTCTCCACTTGTGTGGGCGTCTTGCTTGTTTTGTAAGATTATTGGGAGTATCGTTCTGGCCAATCGTATTCCCGTCATAAGTTGTTCTGAAATGATCCTGAATATCAGTGAGGCCAAGTTCTTCCTCCTGTTTTGGCTCGCTGTTTGTAAACGCCGAGTTTAGGAATCCAAAAGCCAATACCCACAATACGAGCTGTTAACAATGAAATAAATATAAGATAAGATTGCCTTTACTATCAGTGACCAACTTAGAATATTTTATAATACAGGATATGGCTAGTTTAATGTGATTAATATTGCAGCTACATTCAAAAAACTACATGGTAGTTCTCTCTATAAAATGATTTGAGAATGATTATACATTATTATTATTATTTATTTAAACATATAAATTCTTTAAGTTTGCTCCAAGAGCTCTCATTCGAGCTCATCTAGGGAGTTCACTTACATTATATACATATCATAAATAACTATTGTTCTGCACTGCCGACTATTGAAGTATTGATTAACCTTTAATACATGTCACTGAAAACGCTTTTATGTTTAATTTTCGCATAAACGCGAGGCTAGTCCGAAGCTAGTTATTCAAATTGGTAATTATATTTCGATTCGCTTTACATATTGTGGTACGGTTTCATCTTAATGAAACAACCCGGCACAAAAAAATTTCTAATGACAAGTTCAGTATTAAATAAAATGAAAGTTTTTGGACACTTTGGTACTTCACTTACCTTCATACTGAAACATGTACTTTAAGTACACTGTAGAAACCTTTAATCATCAAACGTGCAGGCAAAGTCTTTATACTACTGTAAGCACGTTTCAGTCTTTTATACCTTCATTGACGGCTTAAGAAGAAACTATTTTAGATGATGACTTAATTCTACACATCAAAATCTGCTACCAATTTACAATTTGCTCAGCAACTATATAAAAAGTGGCTATATAGGTTTGTACTGTAAATAAGCTTGCAAAAATAATCCAACTTCCTATATGCTCTTTTATGTCTCCTGCAAGGATTTAAAATAATTATTTTCTATAAACGAAACAGGAAATAGAAAGTGATCTATTTCCGTGAATCAATCCAATATTTTCATTTGATAGAATTGTATAGCTTCACACTGATGCCTCAGGGTTCAGCTAATACTTCCTTTTAATGTGAAGACATACTAGAAAATTTGTATTCCTGACAAAGACAGGCTGCAAAGGATAAACTCGATAAAAAGTCGTGCATTTTGCCACTGAAAGTACTAATTAATTAAAAAAGTGAAATTAACTTTCTGCATAATTGGGGTTCTTACCCGTGAATAGCGCAGCGCACTGATTCTAAAAATAGCTTAAAGATTCGGACAAACATTGCATTCTGTTTAACCGCTACGAGGATTATACGAACCGATTTTATTATTTTTACTTAAAGTTACAATAATAACCCATGTAAACTAAGATCATCTGCGATCGGCTGTGAAAATTATCTGCTGAAAGTAAACTTGTAACTTTGTTTGTCCGAATTTCGCCTTTGTCTTTATGACGTCACGGTTGCGCTGCGCTATTGAAATGGATTAAATTTTTAAATTAGGCATAAGCGGTCCATCGTCAGGGAATGAATAAACGCGTTTACAAACGTCAGTTCTAAACTATCATATGATTTACCGAACTCATTAAAAAGAGTTTTTCGTCGTTTGGAAATACGTTATCATTTTATGTCGAACATGTGAACAAATAACAATAACTTGTTGTTCCTAGGATTACAACTACTGTTTATGACAAAAAAAAAAAAATCGTATTTGTAGACCCTGTTTATGACAAAAGATATAATTAATTGCACTGAGTTCCTGTTTAAATTATCGTGTCATCCCCCGGGGTTAGGGCTAAGCAACAGGTATTGATTTTAAAAGAGTAAATGGGGCTTTTACAATTTTCTAGGACAAATTCATTGAAAGAAGAAACACACACACACACTTGCATGATATGATTCCCAACTGAGTGACGTATAAAGAAGTTTTAGATCTAGCAAAACGGCTGTGTTCTTATTACGAAATTACCTCAAGCTTCATTGCACTGTTTATCTAGCTGCAATACGAGACACGAACAAGGATAAAACGAATCGTCCGTCAACAACAACAAGTATCTTTATTACCAATTTACATATTTATAACACCTACTTGCAAGAACATTGACATACGAAAATAGAACATTAGTGATTTAGTGGGATAGGAATTATATTAAAAAACAAAAGAAGATCACTGAAGCTGAACTTTTCTTWTGTCTTTTAATGTAWTCCTTTCTTACTAAATTACTAATGTTCTATTTTCGTATGTCAACGTTCTTGCAAGTAGGTGTATATGAATATATCAAATTAAGCTTTACAATAGTATTATTTAACCAAGATTCAGGTAATAGCTGCTCAGTATAGCAAGCTAATCGAGCTGAGCAGCCGTTAACTGTTTTTAACACATTGATAAGGTCGCCTTAACTATAGCCTCAGTTCCTGAGTTGGACTATAGATAAGTTTAAGGATTTTGCTATTGTAATTAATTAACATGGCAATTGAAATGGAAATAGAAAAGCAGGAAATATATATATATGAATAAAGTTATGACTATACTGGATCTTAGATTGATTGTAATATAGGATACTCTTAATGGCCAGCAATAATAGGTCATTGTTGATAGCTATCAAGTAGTATGCTTTTGATTTTACGTTTGAATGAATGAAATGGTAGGAGCTTTAGGGTTCCGTCAAAGTAGTTAGTTTCTTCAGTTCCGCCTGGACTCCTATTTGACCTCTCGTACCTCAGGTTTCAATCACTAATTGACTTTTAAAATACATATAACCCAATATATAACCAATATTTGACGTAAGAATATGTATTTTTAGATTTAAAATCGACGGAAATTATACGGATGTTACTTTTATATTTTGTAAAAAGACTACTATTTTGTACATTTTGTATGACATACACAGATACATTTCTTGCGGGATGTGTTTCAGTAAGAAGACAACTTTTATGGCTATATGCATCAGTATACAGGCATCACTGTCCAAGGAGGCGAAAAAAGGAAAGATGCTGAAGATTTAACAAAATAAACCATGAATGCAAATGAATATACGTCTTGATGCGCTCCATGCCGCTCAAGTATTTGAGATTTCGCCTGCAGGTTAGATCATCACACAATTAACCCATTACTTTCTTTGGTTATTTAGTTGCTGGTTGTATTATATTTTTCATTTAAAAAAATAAAACAACATAATAAGATGAAATATCTTCAAAACCCTTTCGGCTTTTATTCGCATTTATTAACATATGATGGTAATCTACTGAAACAAAGCATACAAAATTCATATCAACATAACTATCTCCGCATACAAAAAAGAAACGGAGTTCTCTTTAAACGTGTGCCATGATTACTATTATTTATAGGCAGTTTTGGTTAGTGCCATCAAAGTTTAGTAACATGGTGCTGCATGATCTCGGTTGCAGAATGATCACAGGAAAAGGTGGCTATGTTTACATTTACAAGAACAACCGATGGGAATGGTTTTCGAGATAAAACCACAGCCAGTTTTAACAGGAACGACGACGTGTATCTTCCTAAGAGCACATTTTCCCCACAGCGTCAAATACTTCCTTCCATAGATGTGGATTCGAATTCTGTACGAAGACTCGGCACACTCAATCCCTTGTGTCCGGTAGGCTAGGTCTGTATTTTGGTAGTCGGCTAACGTGTAAGTCACCCGAGCTAATCGTTCCTGGCACATCCCAATGGAAGTACGACGACGAAAGGAAGGACGACGACGAAAGGAAGGACGACGACGAAAGGAAGGACGACGACGAAAGGAAGGACGAGGACGAAAAGAAGGACGACGACGAAAGGAAGGACGAGGACGACGTTTTGGGCGAGGGAGTTTGACTTTCTTTAATTTTCTTATTTTATTTCGTAAGCCTTTCGGTACTGGTACGAGTCGAACCCCTAAACTCTTAAAAGCCCTCGCTCTCGCTTTCAGGATATCATTAACTTGGCTTTTTCCCATAGCTGCACATGCCATTCCACTACGCTGATTTATCTCGAGCTCAGGGACAGTTTTTGCCTCAGAGTTCCACTTTTTGTCATCGTCTTCTTGACTATAGGCATCCAATGTCTTTTCAGGAGTCGAAGCTTCAGTGTCAGAAAAAGCGACTTCAACGAGTAGTAAAGCCAATATTGCAAAAAAAAGCTGTTGACAAATTGAAAGGGGAAAAAACGATTATCTGAAAATGTTTCGATTCCAATTAACTAGTCTTCGTAACAGACTCTCTCTCATTCCCCGTTACAGACGATATTTTCTTTTTATCGGTATGATTTCAAGGCTTATTTCTTTCTGTTCTGCAGAACAGTTAGTACTGGAAGATTAATTAGCGTTAATGAAACAACACTCCAATACTCAGATAAAGTGTTGCATGCAATGTTATACTGGTTTAACATCAAACGCATTCAAAATTTAATAGTCTCACAGGCACCGACATCTACACTATTCAATGACTTATTTCTTTCTGTACTGCAGAACAGTTAGGTACTGGAAGATTAATTAGCGTTAATGAAACAACACTTATACTTCAATACTCAGATATAGTGTTGCATGCAATGTTATACTGGTTTAACATCAAACGCATTCAAAGTTTAATAGTCTCACGGGCACCGTCATCTACACTATTCAATGACGGAAAGCCGTTTTGCCTGGGACTAATAAATATATGACTAACCTTCATTTCCGGTCAGTGTCGTTCAGCAATAGGCTCAACTTTGGGTGCTGGCACGAGTGGGACAACAAAACAAGACAACTACGTCTGAAACCAGAATCTCTTTTATACCCTTGTACGTTATTCTCTAATAGAGATGAGATCATTTGTTGAAGGAATGTATACTCTTGTAATGTACTGTTTTCTATTAGCTCAACTGAAAAATGTGCATATAAGGTCCCTTAATTATATTGCTCAGGCTCTTGAGTGCCTGCCGTACCGGACAGTCCACTCAAAATATCATGCTATTCAAAAACTTGAGTGAAAACCATTAAAATCTTATTGACTGTTAAAAATAATTTCGAGTAAAAACTGTGTGCATTGTTCAAATTCGATCTCGGCTGCCCTTTTAATTGGGTTGCAAAACCTGTTAGGCATTGCGCCGTCCACCCAGGAGTGGTAAAAGCATTAGGAACAATCCCAATGGTCCTTTATTTGAAACAAACTGTTATATTCCCGTTGAAGCTTGAAATCATTTTAAGTCTTTCTTTACAGCGTTCGCTTAGATCGCTCATTCACTGTGATGATCAACACATCTATCATTGTTATATTAAAGTTAAAGCAAATTGTTAGTGGAAAACAATTAAAATTTGGGGCAACTTGCCTTGAGTGAAACGCCAACTTTAATTATAAAAATACCTTCCCAAATCTGCTATCCAAATAGCTACAAAATTTTCCTTATTGACAAGTTATCATGCACTGGTGCGATGATCATCATTGTTATCTATGGTCATCCGTCGTCATCGTTCACCAATATCACCACCAATTTCGTCATCAATATCGGTAGAAGATCATAAAGGCTCTAGAAAGCACGATAATGGATTAAAAAAAAAAGAAGAAAAACAGGTGTAGACACAACCCGTTGGTCGACAATATGTTTTTATACGCTTCGAAGAAAACAAGTCTTATATAACTAGAAACATGTTGAGTCTTGTAACGTGAACAGTGCTAGAAGCACGGTAATAAATAAAAGTTTTAGGTTCCTGTTTATGCTGTTATGCCTATTTTTATATATGAAGGAAATAGAGGATTGGGGCTATGCCTTGAAATAAATGTAATATTGTATGCAATAATTTGTAATAAATAAAAGTTTTAGGTTCCTGTTTATGCTGTTATGCCTATTTTTATATATGAAGGAAAGAGGATTGGGGCTATGCCTTGAAATAAATGTAATATTGTATGTGTATTTATTCAGAAGAGATATATAATATAACGACCTCAGTGGCTGTAAACAGGAAGAACCACTTACTAAAATCACCTGGGAGTATTATGACATGGATAGTAGGAGTAACTAACATATTTTTTTCTGCTGAAATTTCTTTAACATATTGCTTGAAATCCTTTAAAAAAATTTGTATGCTTTTTAAATTTTCAATCAGACTTTTTATTTGGCTATTAGAATATGCGCTTTCCGGTTTGACGTGATATATTTCAAAACATTTGAATCATTCAACATTAATTCACCTTTTCGGCGCTAGCCGTCACGGGGTATAGATTGATTTAGATTGTGTTACGGTCACCAAAGTTCGGACATTGTTCTAGGATTTCCGTACAAATGTACTGACTCTATATGAAATATTTAATTGGTTAATGTTTAGTTAGTTCTCTAAATACAAGTAAATGATCATTTTTCTAGCTTGATTGAAGCTTTTCTTACTGCTGTTAAGAGAGCTAACTAAAGAAATCTACCTAAAATTTCTCTTTAAAGTCAGTGAATTTGTATGGGAATCAGACAACGATGTCCGAACTTTTTGGTGACCGTAACACATTCTAAGCTAGCGCCGAAAAGGTGAATTTCATTTTATTGCTAAGTAATGAAGTATTTATAATTAAAACAAGTTTAACGAGTGTTTTTGTGTCCAGAGTTTTAGCTATAAGGCCTACACTTACATGCCACTCCGACCTCTAATGTCTTGCCGCAAAGTGTACCATAATCATCGAACAAATGCAGGAACACTTGACTTTTAGTAAGAATACATTTCCCTATAGGGTTATCAGGGGCACAGTACTGAGAAAAACAAAATTTGTTTACACAAGTGACTCCCCTGACAACGTACAATAGACTGACTTTTGGATGGATCAGTTGGAAATTCATGACGACTTCTTTCTCTTCACACAATTCACTGTAGTTGTTTGACGACCTTCTTTTCCTTTGGGTAGCTTTTAATGTTCCATTGTTCATTTTTAACTCGCGCAGGAATCTCTTAGACACTTTGGCTATTCGAATGGCTGGATTTTGTCTAACACCAAGCTGTTTTAGAACCCCAAGGATTTTACTTGCAGTGATAGGCTTGCAGATGGTGAAGGTACCGTTGGTGCAAGTTGAGTCTTCCTTGCTATCCATTTCTTCCATTTCTACACCAAATTCCGGTTCATTCAATGGCATGGCTCTTTCCAGTGCTTCGTCTTCATTGATATATGCATAGTAATCATTTTTGATTGATAGTGAGTCAACCAAAAGAGTGAAAGACGTTATTGCATACAACCAAATCGAGAGCTGCGAGCAAAAAATCAATACAAAGACAAGCTGTAATTTTTCAACAAGTTTCATGACACTCTTCCAGTATTTATTCTTGTTCATGAACTTTATAGTTATATATCTTATTTCTCTGAATATGACTTATTTATTCTTCCTAAAAATTTTATATACGTTTGCTATTTAACCAGCAGTTCAGTCATGCTCTATTTATCGTTATTCATGAATAGTTTGTAGTATACTTTCTATTTCCCTGTAAAAATCTTAACCCCTTTTTAAGCCACACTTTTAGCGACTATCCGTCTGCACTACGCTCACAAAAACTGTTCAGGGTCGCATCAAAAATGCGGCAACATTATTGAGAAATTTTGTCTAGACCAAGATTTTACTTTTGTGATCTTATTAAAACTATATCTAGAAAGAGCGCATTTTCAAAAATACAATATGACAATCAAAAAATAATTAACAAAATTGTGTGAAACTGAAAATCATCTAATTTCGCACTTGTAAAGCAGAGCTGATGAGCGTTTTTGTGCAAAGTCACAAAATTTCGCCATGAGCCGGCGGCGGGGCAAGCAAATATCGAACTGTTACAAACTTTAACAAAACATAAATCTTATTGAACTTTATGTTACCAGAATTATAAGCATAATACGAACGTTTTAAATCCACTAGCTATAATATGATTTACATACCTTTACGTTCAGATTCATGTTGAGTTTTGAGTTGAAGATATCAGATCGCAGAGTTCTTACTAACCCTGATGTGGATCGGTTCAATATAATCTTAGCCTTGGAATCCGCGCCTTTCTTGTAAATAGTCATCTAATGCGGATTCTAGAAAAACTATTTTTAAATCCATTGCATACACGTGGGAAAACAATTTAAATCGACATGATCGAGAGGCTTAAAGTCAGTCGAGCAGGAGAATAATAATAATAATAATAATAATAATAATAATAATAGTAATAAAAGTGATAGTAATAATAACATCTTTGGCTAGAAAATAAAGAAAACAAAATTCCATTATGAAAGCCATAAAAAAATAAGAAAAAGCTATTAATGCAGTAAGAAAAAAAAATCACTAGACATCAATTATAAAATCTTAATCTAAAACTATATATATATATTTATGTGTATGAATGTATGTATGTATATGAATGTATGATTTTATGAATTTACTAGGTAAATAATTAGTTTTGCGGCATAGATTAGCAATCCGTAGTATCCATGCCGGGGGAGGATCTAGGGGAGGGGTACAGGTGTAGCTGATATCTACCTCAATATTGATGTTTGAATTTGTTCCTAAAACGAAAATATTCTGGATAGTGCATTATATGACAATCTGACAACCATATATATGCTTTATACGCTTATTGAAATTGGTTACAGGGTGCTCATACACCCCCTTTTCAAAGTTTCCAAAGTGCCCTCCAAACAGTTACAGTGCTGAAAAGGTGCATTTTAATGATTAATTTTGTAGCTACACTCACTTTAAATCCTATGAGGTTGGTTTATATTTGGCGCTTATGTATTGCACACTACATTATCGACTTATGATATCCTATAGTCTTGATGTCTAAGAATGCAGAAAAAGGATTACCAATTAATACCGGAATGTTTTCATTCATGAAGATTAGTTTTAGTCTTTGTCATGAAATAGTTATCAATCAGGATAGTTTTACTATCAACCGCGCGTTCACATTTCGGCTTTGTGATGATATCCCTCTCTAATCAAACAAGAATTACAGTCAATTAAGATAGAAAAATGCGGAACATTTTTTGGCGTTTACCAGTGACAGTAAAGTTTTTAAATGACGCGATATTAAATCCGGCCATTCAAAGGCAAAGGCGAATACAGGGGGGAGCAGTTTAGATAGAGTGGCTACTAGCTACCCCCACCCCCCTCTCTTCCTCCTCGCATTGGAGTTGAAAAATAATAAGAAAAACGCTATGGCATGACATCCACCCCCCCTCCCCCTTAAATTATTCTGGATCTGCAACTGGAATTCATTACTCTTCATGTTTAAGCAGTTGTCAAAGCATTGTCAATATGGTTGACACTTTTTTTTTCAGTTATTGTTCGATAGTAAAAATTGTTCCATCATTCCACCTTTCGGTTTCCTTTTTAATTGAAGTTTCATTGAGCACTTTGTTTGCTTAAGCATTTTCTATAGGATAAATATAATATTTTCATGCTTAAACTGAATAGAATCAAAAGTTGTCTAAGGACTACTACAGAGCCGGAGAGAATGGGGGGTGGGGTGAGGACTGTAAGAAGTAAGCCCGTAAGGGGTAAGGAGTTAGGGTTAGAGGGAGGAGGGGTTACGATTTTAAGTTTCAGTACAAGGTCTCCGACATACTTTACTTATTTGGAATATATATATATATATATGCCTATAATATTACTAATTTCGAATAATTCTTGACTTTACCGACGGTATGCATCTCGTTTTTGTTAGCACCTGGCTTTCATTCTTTTTTCGTTCATTTGTTCTTTTTTTTTTTCAACGTGGGACTCAAAGCAAAATTCTAGTAACGATTTTTGTTCTATGTTGATAACTGAATTCCTTTTCACCCAGGGGTGATAAACACTTAACATGTTTTGGTTTCTCCTTAGCTCTCACTCTTGTTGATATAAGATAGTTTGTTTAGACATATTTTGGCTGATTGTTACTCTGCTAGTCGAGATATTATATAGGAGAGGAGGGGTAAGTATACAGTGTGACGCAACTGGGTGGCCCCCGGAGCACTAAGTGACTCTTAGCATGGCAGGGGTGGATCCAGGGTTTGGACATGAGTAGTTTACTCTGACAGACCAATCAATTTATACCCAACCCACCATACCCCTAATAGTTATAAACTACCTAAAAGGATACATCTAGCATACCATGCTGTCTGCAGTCAAGATCCTTGTACAGATTTATCTCAGTTGAAGAATCTAGCAC